GCCAATTACGACACGTACAAAATTCGTAGATTTATAAATTCAAATATTAACTAAAAATAAAAAATGTTTCAACTGATTTCAAAAATAGTTAATTCCGGTTTTCATTATTATGTTTTTTATCGGTTCCTTCCCTCACCGAACATCCAAAGCACCGTAACCCCTGCCGCTTTTTGATGGTCGATCCTCAAAGTTTCGAAGTACATCAATCAGTTTAATTTTTGTAGCTTTAAAAATAGCTTAGAAATCCAAATCAGACTCAAAAATTTTTGAAGAAAAATCTTTCAAGTGGTTTTAAAAATAGCTAACAAATTTTTGCCCCTGCCGCAAATCCAAATTTTTATTAAAAACTCTTTATTTAATTACCCTGTTTTCTCTACCTTCACCGAACATCAAAAGTACCGCAATCCCTCTGCCTGTAGGTACTCGAGGTGATTGCGGTGCGCGTACCCACGGCAAACATATCACTTTCCCGGGCAACAGCAAAGAGGGGGTCCAGCCTGCCCGTCCCTATTCCTGTAAAGAAACCAATAAAACGGGCATTCTGAGAGGCGTACCGAGGCCCAAAAAGGCGTCTGAAAGCAGCGTCCAAACAAATTATGGACACGAGGATCAGATGCTGAGGTCGGGCCAAGAAGTTGTAAAATGTTGTGTTTCGCCAGAGGATAGCACTTCGGTGTGGTATATTCGCGTAGTTCGTCGCCGTCGTCGTCGCAGGCTTAGGCTTTTACAAGGAGGCGTTTTTGAGTGTCGTCGGGACGTTGGCATGGGACTAAGCCTATCTTCTGCAGAATTTTACGCTGATTCCGAATATGGTAACGGTTTTGCGGAATAGCCATTTCTCGAAAGTTATGAACGATTTAAACCTCAAAACAGCCCAAAATCGGCTATTTCCGATAGTCATAAAAGGCTTCGGAATAGGTTTTAGACAAAACCAAATAGTGCACCTTGTTCAGAAAAAATTCTCTACAAATTTACCATCTTTTCCAAAATCATTGAAAAGTTAGAAAAATTTGTTAAATTGGGAGGCCCCTTATTTTACAAAAATTTTCAAAATTCCAAGCTTTTTGAGTTAAGTAGCTTATTTTATAGAGAATTTTTTCTGAGCAAGATGCACTATCTGGTTTTGTCTAAGACCTATTCCGAAGCCTTTTATGACTATCGAAATTAGCCGATTTTGGGCTGTTTTGAGGTTTAAATCGTTCATCTTTCGAGACATGGCTATTCCGCAACAACGGTTACCATATTCGGAATCAGCGTAAAATTCTGCACAAGGCAGGCTTGGTCCCATGACACAGTCCCGACGACACTCAAAAACGTCTCCTTGTTAGGTTAGGCTTAGGCTTAGGCTTAGGCTTCGGCTTAGGCTTAGGCTTAGGCTTCGGCTTCGGCTTCGGCTTGGACTTAGGTTCAATTTAAGCTTCGGCTTGGGCTTGGGCTTAGGCTCACATTAGGCTAAGGCTTGGCCAAGGCATGGCTTAGGCTTGGCTTAGGCTTAGGCTTAGGCTTAGGCTTAGGTTTCGACCTCAATTTTTATGTTTGCTTCTCGACGATACTTACTCCTTTTCGTTGATTCGAGCTCTTTTTGGCTGTCGATTTTAATGCGTTCAACTCCGCAATTTTACGGTCCATTGTAGTGTCTTTGAATAGCGCATTCTTTAGACAAAAACAGGCAAAAAATAGCATGAAGTGAATCAGGCAGGTTGGGTGCAGGGGCACCCAAAAACATTTCTAAAATTGGCGGTTCAAAAAAGGGTTTTTGAGGCCAATTCATTATATATAGGCGCGGTAAATCAGGAATTTTTTGGGTTCTGAGTATTTTACACCTACGGGTTAGCAAAAAAAAGTTTCGTAATACTTCACATACTAGCCTCTCTTTAATACTTTAATCTGGCATGGATTGCATCTCATAAATTTAAAAATTCTTCACAAGATTTTTTTCTAAATCTCATCAACTTATGTTATGAAATAGAAGCCATCAATAGTAAAACGGTAAATAAACTCCCCTCTTCATCCATATAAAAATTTGTTTTTACAAAAAAATGTTTTAGACAAAATTAAAAAGACAAGATTTTAGAAATGGGGATTACGGTCTTTTTAAAAGTTGCCTAAAGTATACAAAGTGTTTTTAACCTTAAATTTCTTTCGGTAAGATATCCCAAAAATTAACCGGACAAACATACCCAATCTTTCAAGCTCGTTTACACAAACCCCGTGTTTGCCCGGGATACCTGGAGGATTTCGGCGTTGATCACTGGGGCTGTTACTCTGATCCCATGCACCCGCTGTTTGAAGCTTACGGTAGCCAATGTATAAAATAGCCGCAGCTTTTCGGAAAGGGTTTCCGAATTCCTATTTTGTTAAATAATATTTTGATTGCATTGGTCAACGAGCAAACGGAGATATTCGTATGATTAGAGTATCCGTCCTGCGATCCGGTTCAAATTTTCTTGAAACACGCTTTGGGAATCTATTAAAGACACCGCGCCCCGATTATCATTGAATTTCTTGAAACATTTTTACCTTCGACTTTCGCGAGTCCAAATTCGAAAATTATGTACAACGTTTAGGGTTCCAAAACGACATTAAAAATTGGTTTGTTGCGGTACTTTGGGGCATGGTAAGACCTTTCGCTTCCCAGCCCCTTTAAAATCTAAAATCTCTGAAAATCGTACACAAATCAGCTCCTAAACCAACCACACAAGCAATTTCCCATTCCCTTTAAACTTTTTTGAACCAACATAACCAACAGGTTCAGGAAGATTCAGCATCACTTCCGCTACCTCGCCAATTATTCCGGAAGCGTGCTGGAAATATGATAAAAACCGCAAACTAAGATAATAAAAAGTAGTGTAGCCTTCAACCGTTTAATTTTTATTTTTTTAAAAATTTTTAACAATTAAAGTTTACGCTAAATTCAGACACGCTTAATTTTACACTACACGGTACTAGCTTAACTTTCATTTTTTTCCCGTTCACTTTTTTGAAACATTTTTTCCATAAAGGTAAGCAAGTTCGACGTGGTTCCGCATCAGCTCCGCTGCTACCACTTAAGTAAAATAGTAATTTTTCTAAATTGGCTCAGTTTTTCTGGAACATTTTTGCTATCATATCCAGCACGTTTCAAAAAAAATATACCAAAATCCAGAACTCAAAAAATCACTATGGCGGTATTTTGTCATTTTCGATTCGAAAACGGCGAAGGACTACTAAATTGCGCGTCCCGGATCCGTGTTGCCATTTTTTTGAAACATTTTTCCATCCGCGCAAGTTCAAGACAGTTCAGCATCACTTTCGGTTTTCAATTTCGAAAAGCCCTAAAATCGAAAAACAGAGCTGAACAGGATAATTCGAAATACGCTTCAGCAGAGAAATCACCAGAAATAGACAACAACACAGAATCAGTTAGATCCTTCCGGTTTCGCGTTACAATTTTTTTCGAAAACTCAAGTCCAGCAAGTTCAATCAAGTTCAGCATCAGTTCCTCATTTCCAATTAACAAGGACGGCTATCGTATCTAAAAACAGAGCTGAAAAGGGTAGATCGACAAATAAAGACGAACGAATTGCTACACCACATTTTACTTTTTAATTGTGCATTTTTTGAAACATTTTTCCATCAAGCCCAGCAAGTGCAACCAAGTTCAGCCTCAGTTCCGTTCCCTTCCAATGCACCTCGTCGCGGCAGGGCTACGGTAGCGAATATGAACCCCGTCTATGGCCCCGTCCATTCACCCCCGCCTCTAATGTTTACCCCGGAATTTGAAGGTCCAAAGTTTCGGTGGTCGGTTAGAGATGGCGGACCCAAAACTGGCCATTCATTTTCCAGGTTTCTTTTGCTCCTTTGAAGCAGATTTTTGCGGTCTATTTGCCATCCGAATCGCCCGACCATCGACACTGCAAAACGCGCATTTTAGCAACCACCACCCGGATCTCTCTCTCCCCTCTCTATCTCTCTCTCTCGCTCTTTCTCTCTCGCTCTCTCTCTCTCGCTCTTTCTCTCTCGCTCTCTCTCCCTCTCTCCCTCCCTCTCTCTCTCCCGCCCAGACCAAACTTTATAAAACGTGAAAAACAGGGCGGCCCGGGAATTTTGCCCGAAAATTTGAACCTCAGGGAGGTAGGGTAATTTTTAAAATGCTTTGTTAACTAAAATCGAAGAAATTATGGTATACTATGAACTAATTTCGTGACCGCAGCAATTTTTCTTTTATATTTTATTAACTTTGTTTTCTCATTTTTTAAAAGAAACTTTCCGAGCTTTGAAAACGAACAAATGGCACGACAAGAATTCAGCCTCGTAATTTTGCCGAAACATTTTTTCCAACGACAATTCATCTAATTCTGATTTTCTTGTAGTTTATAATTTGAGTTTCTGCTTCTTTCCCATTATTGCGGGATCTTTTTTCTTATGACCCATTATTCTAACATAACTAGATAGGAACTATTTCAAACTCTTTATTACTTACCATAAACGTGAAAATCTGATATTTTTCGATGAAACACACAAAAATACCGCTTTCGATCAAAATATCGAATTTTAAAATGCTTAGTTTTTTAATTTAAATTTTGCCCATCTCCGATATTGCTAAAACAAACCTAATTTTACAAACAGATGTAAATAAAAAACCAAATACAGATTTAAATCCATGTGAAATAAAACTCAATCCTAACTAATTTTTGAAATTTTCCGTTAAAATTGAAAGCACGGCATGAGCAACTATTATGGCTTTACGCAATGTTATTCACTTCCCGTTTTTTCTAGTATACTCCGTCGAAATTTTTTGGTATTATAGCTTCGATGAATGTTTCTAATAAAATTTCTGCTGCCCGGGTTCTGGGAGGATTGCTGATTTCCAAAGCCAAAATCCGTAAATTTTTTTAGAACATGTTTCCTATATCTTCCAAAAATACTTTAGTTCTTATCTCAAGGTTTTGAATAATCTTTATTTTATTTATCAATGCGAAATCCAAATACCACTCATTAATAATATTTATGATTTTTAGATGAGCGCCATTACATTGCCCGACTTGCCAAAGGTCAAGCCGCTCGGTTCTCGATTTCGATTCTTTCTGTTAATTTTGATATTCTTGTGCTTGACGGCAATTTGGTTAGTATTAAAATTACATAGCTATTTTATAAACGTTTAAACTATATAAAAAATTCGGTCTTAAAAAAATTAAATTCGAAAATTTAGGGCCAACGTGTTGACGTATAATATTGCGATCGTGTGCATGCCTTCGAATTCGACCCACCACGCCGACCCGAATCATCGAATTTTTACGAATGGTGAGGAATCTCTGCTAGTCTGCCCTCTCCTCTTCCTCAACAATCTCTGCTAGCCTGCCCTCTCCTCTTCTTCAACAATCTCTGCTAGCCTGCCCTCTCCTCTTCCTCAACAATCTCTGCTAGCCTGCCCTCTCCTCTTCCTCAACAATCTCTGTTAGCCTGCCCTCTCCTCTTCCTCAACAATCTCTGCTAGCCTGCCCTCTCCTCTTCCTCAACAATCTCTGCTAGCCTGCCCTCTCTTCTTCCTCAACAATCTCTGCTAGCCTGCGCTTATTCGTCAAAATATTCCGTTTCAGGCCAAAAGACGCTTGCCGTGGTTTTCGTGTCAATTGGAACAATCGTAGCTACGGGCCCAGTCATCTATCTCGTCAATCGCTACGGGACCCGAACGATCCTGGCAGTACTTGGCGTACTGTCATCTGTCTGCACATTCCTATTACCACTCACCATAAAGGTATATACTTTCCGGTTAAATTTTGTTAAATAAGGCTGTTTTTCGATTTTTTGGCTGTTGCAAGACGTGAACGTATCATTACGCCAATGCGTCTGATACGCGGGACAATTGTTCTTGAAGCATGCTATTTTTATTTGGCTTTTTTGAAGGGGTTTGAAGGGGAAGGGGGGAAGGGGTTTTTGAAGTCTTCCAATTTAATTTGCCCAAAATCCGGGTTTTAGGAAACATATAGCCTCCTTAAGCAATGTATTTTCGGTGAGCTGTGAAAAAGGGTTAAATGTTAATTCAATAAATGTAAAAATGTTAATTTTGAGGTTAATGTTTCATCAAAATTGGAGGGCCTGTGAAAATTGTTGCGTTTAATAACGTGTTTATACATGATGAGATAAATAAAAATATCATTATCTAAAAAAAGATTTTGAAACGTTTAGGTTTTTTGTTTGAAGTAATTTTTTGTAAATCCTCTACGCCAATCAAAACTTTGTGGGGTAATTTAGTGTCGCAACGACATTTGAAAAATGATGTTTCACAACACGTGCGGAACGAGTCAAAATTTTGACTCGTTAATAGATCGTTGTGTGCGGGCTTTCACTAACTACTGGGTGTCCCAAAAAAAGCACCCCCCTCTAGCGGTCCAGGGTAAACTCAGATCAGGATGATTTTTATACCATTCGAAAGCCCGCGAAAAGGCGTGAAAACCAGCGGCCTTGATTTTTTAAGATTTATCCTCGTTGTTCCGACATTCAACGTTTTTCTAAAAAAACATGTAGCTTTTCAATAGGAATTTCGCAATTAACATGCAGATCGAGCGTAAATCTGTCGCTTTCAGGGTTTTGAAGGTGATATTCGCGAATAGAAATACATAATAAAATAAATAAATCTTTTTTTGTTTTCTCGCCTTTTCGAGAGCTTTCGATAGATACCTAAATGGTGAAAGTCGGACACGACTGCAAGCCGCTAGAGGGGATGCTTTTTTTGGGACACCCTTTAATGTTTCATAAAAATCTTTCTTCCAATCGAAATTATGCCCGTCAATTTTCGTCTCTCCACAGTCTTGAAACGACCAAAAATTCGGTTTGCCAAGTGCTGGTCTCGGAAAATGTTTCATATAAACTTAACAGTTACGTAAAATTTTCCTAGATATTTGTGGAAGATCAATATTTATATTACTTTTTAATACAATGTTTTATCTCCAATTTTTCAGCACTCAATCGCCGCCTTCTACGTGCTGCGCTTCATCCAGGGGATTGCGCTCGCATGTAACATGCCGGTCGTTGGGTACTTTACGGAACGGTGGACGTATTATAAACAGGTATGATTTGATTTCAATAAATTTTAATTGAATTAGATAAAGACTAATGAGTAATATGTACATCAATATTCGTTGTTATTATGGGATAATTTGATCCCGTCATGCCAATTTTGGCTAAAACATTTTTTATCACTTTTTAATTTTTGCTTACAAGGGAAGTGCACGACCGGCCCACGAGAAATTGACACGAGACATAGTCGATCTGATAGAATCGGATACGAGGATTCCGAATCTGCAATCAGAATTTGCTAAATAAAATGGAGAAAAAAGTTATGAAGCTTCAAAGTTGGCCAAATCGCCAAAAACCGTACCTTTAAGGGCCCGTAAAAACCGGTGGAACGGAATTGAGGAGAAAAGAATTAGTGCAGCTTGTTCAGCAGAAAAAAGCGCTTTCGAATGAGCTGTAATATGTAGCATTTGCAAACAATTCACTGAAAAAAGTTTTTTTGGATTTACGGGCAAGGGTATGGCCTGTCAAGTTCATAGAAGAGATTTTCGCGAAATCATCGTGAACTTAAAGTAAGATAGCTCATTCGAAAGCGCTTTTTCTGCTGAACAAGATGCACTAATGAGTTGTGGCAAATTTCCATTCCCAGGGCCTTTACAGGCCCATAAAAGTCCGATTTTGGGCGATTTTGCCAACTTTGAAGCTTCATAACTTTTTTCTCCGTTTTATTTAGCAAATTCTGATTACAGATTCGGAATCCCCGTGTCCGATTCTATCAGATCCATTATGTCTCGTGTCGATTTCACGTGGGCCGGTCGTGCACTTCCCTTGTTAGCTAGCTTAGCTTATTAAATTCCGGCTAAATCATTTGCTTTTATTAATTCTGTTTACGCACTGCTTCAATTTCATTAATTCCATGACGGATAAACCACCAGTTTTTCTTACTTCTTTTCTAACCAAAACATTTGAATTGAAATACCATAGGTAATTGTTTAAAAATAGTCTGTACGATAATCTTTATAATTTTCTATTCCATGTTTTAATAGAAGATTATGCGACTCACTAATCCTCGTTTTTATTTTTCTTCATAATTAAATTAGAATGAAACATGCTTTTCAGAAAGGCCTCACGGTCTCCGTGCTCGTCACCTACCTCCAACTCGCTCCCGCCTTCACGAATCCCGTTTCCGGTGCGCTGTGCGGCGCTTCTGGGTAATTTTTGAATTTTTCATTCGTTGCTTGAATCATTTATAGTTTATAGCCAAAACTAAAATACAAATTATCATGCCAATTTCTGTCCGTTGTTAAAAATATGTTTTATCGAGGAGCAACATGGCATTTTTTTGAAACAGCTGTATTCGTAGAACCGTTTTTATCTCTAATTTTGCTCTCAAGCTGCCAAAATTTTACCAAAAATTTTTTGTTTTTCATCTTACTTCCCCGAATCCTACTACATAAATTTTAAATCGTCAGTTTTGTACGTTTTAGGGCGAAGAAAATCCATCCAAAACTTTTTAGGGTTTAAATAAATATGTTTCGGGAAAGGTTCAGTTCCAAAAAAATATATGAGGTAATTGGCCTGAATCAAATTTTCTAAAAAATCATTTGTATTTAAGAAACTTAATCAAAAATGTATTAAAAACACTAATTACGATATCGTTTTCAGATGGGAAAGCATCTTCTACTTCCACGGCGGCCTCTCGCTGGGGCTATTTACGCTCTACAGTAAGCCATTTTCAGCCAATAAATATTGATAGATTTGCTTCGTGGACCTTACTAAAAAAATTTAAAAATTTCTTAAGAAGCTTTTCTTCAAACATACTTTCGCAGAATGGCGGGGTCCTGATAATTCTTTTTTCAGTGAGATAAACTGTCAATATTACAGTAAACGTCTTACGGCTGCAAATTTTAGTTAAATAATGACTATAAGCCCAATAGAAAATGCAGAAAAGTTTAGTTTCTAGGTGGACGCGATCTGACATTAAACCGCCACCCTCACCCCAATTTGAAAAATTTTTGAAACACATTTTCGTTCAAAGCTTTTGTTTTTTCAATATTTTTGATTACTTTTGCTTATTGTTGTAAATAAATTGCCGTAAATTGCCGCTCTTACAGTAATCTTCTTCCGGAACAACCCGGAAAAGCATCCGTTCGTCGGCCGGACCGAATCCGGAAAAATAGCACGCGGGAAGGCGCCCGGACCGTGAGTTTAGTCTTACACTCTGTGTGTTGCCTGAATTCAGGATTTAAAATGGCATAGAAATATAAGCCACCAGTCATCTATATTACTGAGGTTATCATGATCACTGCGAAAGTCAAAAAAGTCATGTTTCAACTAGGCCTAATCACCGCTTTTCAAAAAATCAGCTAGTTTTTTTGTTAAATTTTCTTTCTTCACCGTTAAAGGCAAGAGAAACGAACATTTAATTTAATTATAATTAAATTATTAAGTTTTGTAAATTTTTTAATTAAAAAGGCATAATATAATTATATACAGTTTTTTATGGAATTTCAGAAAACCAGCCGTCCCGTATTTGGCAATCGTGAAAACCATGTCGATTTGGGCTGTCTGGGTGGCCGGAATCGGGAATTTCATCGTGCTCGAGATGCTGTTCCTCTACACGCCCACCTATCTTAGCAAAGGTATCGTTAAATAACTATTGTCTTTAGACATTTATTAAAATAATTTAGAAAATGCGATCTTAAAAAAAGTCGGAAAAATTCGTATTTAAAAATCGTGCTTTTGGAAATTTATGTTTCACAAACATTTGTTGTTACGTATCCTTTAATAGAATGCAATTTGAAAGGGACGGTGATTCAATTTGGATGCAAGATTGAAAATTGATGTTTCAGCAATATTTATTTTTGCGAATGTTACAATCTAGTCAATCATGGACGAAACCACGTTATCTATCGTTAAATTTTCTTTTGATTCGATACAGAGAATTCATCTCGATAAAATACTTTTGTAATTAGAGTTTTGAGCCGAGCTTTCAGCTAATTTTATGATCTTTTCAACGCTAAAATTAATCACTAATTCGAAAAAATTTTTGTGAAAATTGTTTTTTTGATTCCAAGCTTATGATGCGATTTTTCCGACTTATCGATTTCGGTTCCTTTTTTTGGACGAATTCGCTTTAGCAATATTTTGAAAGATTTAATTTGATGTGCTATTTATAATAACACATGAAAATGTTAGGAAATACTTTGTAATTTAAGTATTACGTTTAACCAATTCGATTTCAAAAGGAAGGCTTAAAAATGGATGTTTCACCGACAATTTATGGCAGTGTTTTGCCTCGCTGCAGCTATTAAACATGGCCCCATCTCTACATAAATGGGAAAGATAAGATCGATTATAACTAAGATTAAAAAAACATATCTAATTAAATGCGCTGTTTGGTTAATTAAAAGTCTCGATTTTCTTTTTTATTTTTATTGATACATCCATTAATTTAATGATTGCCGTTTATCCGCCTATTTTTTGCATTCCAGTTCTCGGGTTCGGCGTGTCGAGCACCGGGATCACGTCCGCCATCGTGCCAATCGCCCAGGGCACCGTTAAGGTGATTGCAGGTAGCAAGCATTTTCATCTAATCTATTTATATTTGAATTATTGATTTCGGACGGCTCTACAAAATTACAAAAATAACGAAAACAACCAATAAAACGTTCGAACTATCAGCTTTTCAAAAATGTGTTTCAATAAAAATTGACCACACTGAGGTTCGAAAGTCATGAATTGCCGCAAACTTATCGCGTCCAAAAAACACCAAACGCAGTTCAAAAATACATTAATAAGATTAAAGTGGCAGCAGGCGGCCGCGCATTAAAAAAAGCGAAACGAAAATTCGAGGATCTTAGAAAAAAGGCAAGCTTTATGCCAAAAATTTTGTTTCAAAATTTGTTACTAACGGCAGGTGCTGATTTCTCTATAATAACAGTTTCGCACAGTATCGAAAGCACTTTCTAGGGAGGGTGAGCATGAGAGGGAGTGCGAGTGAGCGAAAGCGAGACTAAGCGAGAGAGAGAGAGAGAGGGGGACAGAAACCAATAATTTTTCCAGGCACGGTATCCGACAAAATCCACATCCCCGAAGGCATCAAAGTCCGTATCTTCAATACCGTCGGCTTCACCGGCGCCTTCATCGTGCTGTTGGTCATCTCCTTCTCCGGCATCCGAAACGGGGTGGGACATGATACATCGTCGCGTGAATTAATACTGCAAAGTGCTGTTCAAAACCGGAAATTGCGAAACACATTTCCTTGATTCTATGATTTTTGTAACGTAGATTTTCAGACAGTCTGCCTGGTGCTGCTCGGCGTCACCGGGGCGTTCATCGGGCTGAACACGGGCGGGTTCTTCCGCGCTTCCCACGTCCTCTCCAAGCAGTACACGTCGATTTAATTGTTTAAATATAATAAATTTGTTAAAAAGCTTAAAACCTTTTTTGTAAATTTGTTAACACTAAAATCTAAAGCTCCGGGAATGAATAATAATAAAAGTTAAAATACTTTAAAAAGTTTATATTTAGGTCATTCGTGACGGGAATGATATCAGTCTGCTTCTCAATCGCCATGCTAATTCTGCCGTTTTTCGTCGACGGCGTCACGGAGAACAACACGAGGGGCGAATGGGAGATTGTTTTTGTTGGCACTGGCGCCGTTATGGTAAGTATTTAATAATTTTGGGTAATTTTGGGTTTTTTGGGTAATTTTGGGTACCACACGCGCGAGTGCAACTGGCAAGAATGAGGAAATTTGTATTTTTCCGCATTATGCAAATTAGCCCTCCGGGACCCCCAAAAATGAATAAAACCGGCTTTAACTTTGTAGACTTGTATTCTATCGCAATTCTGACAACGCCATCGGAAACAGAAGGGTCGATTCCCCCGGGTGACGGAGAATTAGGGCATTTTATACACGGGAAGGCCCTCAAATCGGGCCTCGAAAGTGACATCCACACACACACACACACACACACATACGCGCCAAAATTATATAAGGTAGGATATTTTTAACACCAATTAGCATAATTTTTTAAAAAAATTACAGAAAAGTTTAAAAATTTAATCATTGTAAAAACTAAAAATGGCAAAAAGTAAATAACAAACAATTAGCGACTATTTGACGTTTTGGAAGCTGTTCGATTTAAATAGTGCAAGAGTGAAAAATTAATTAAAATATTTAAATATGGTTATCTAAATTTAAATCTATTCAATTTAATCTAAAATTTATATTCAAGAAATTAAACAATTTTCCTAAAACTAAAAAAATTGGGAATTCTTTGAATTTTGAGTTCAATAGGTTCTCAAAAATTTTTTGTATATATCATAATAGATGAAACACAGTAATTGGAACCATAACCGAAATTTTTTGTCGGAAAGCTAAAATAATTATCACAACAGTTTTTTTAATTCCTTAAGTAGTAAATTCAATGAAAAATAAAACCTATATTGAAATATATTAAAAAATCCAACTTTCAGTTCATCTCCAACATCTTTTTCGTGATATTCGTCCGGGGCGAGCCGTGCTGGTGGACTGAGGTCGGTGAAATATTGATTTTTAACTCGCTACATTACTTAAATTGAATTTTGAAAAATTTCAGTAAATCCTACATTCGAAAATCACATTATTTTGGTTTTTTCATTAAAAAACTCAAACTTAAAATACATTTTCTAAGCTAAAAATCGACTTCTAGACGTCAGCCACCGATCAAGTGGCCCCGGCGTTTGGTGATGCGGAGAAAACGCAGGAAAAGCCGGCCGCGACGCATTAATGATACTTTTTGTATCGCGGATTTTGCATAGTATTTAGTTTGTCTGTGTAGGAATAAAAGTCTTATCGAGTAGCCCAGGAATTAACGTGCAAGATAATTTTTTAAAGGCTAGGGTGAAACACTATTTCAAGAAATCGAAATTTCAAGATATCTTAATTTACATAAGCGATTTCTAAATAAATTCGAAAAAATCCCAAATTCTCTGCAAAGATTGTCTTTTTAACAAACTCGTAGTCCAATCACTAAAACACCTCAGATTGCGTTGCACTAAAACCTCTACTTATGCCGATTTCTTGAAACATCCGATTCCAACCCTAAAAATTAAGACTTTCATTAAAATCGATTTTATTTGCATTGAATTTTCCGCTGCCTTCACAGTTCCTTTAAACTCAGCTAGCACAGATTTTCGAGCATTTTTACCCTGTATTCCT